ATTCATATTCGAAAATGCAATATATTTTTCGCTATAATCAAAGACGTCTTGAAAATATTTCAGAGAAGCCAACCATTGCGAGATAGAATCAGAATTTTGCGCTTATTTTGTATGTGAACTTCGGAATGATGTCTATTTTATGAAGAAGTGTTCGTTTAAAAAAAAAGACTAACGAGTTTCATAATTTTAGGATCCGTCAGATAACAGATTTTAAACGAACCTTACAGCCAAGTTTTTGAAATTTTTTTAGTGGTGTGAAAGTCGTAATGGATATCTACAACGCAATATGTTCGATTCTAACTAATCTGCTGTGAATAAATCAAAATCAGTTGTAGATATAGTTAATTCAGTATGACCTGCAAAAAGTGAAAGCTTTTGAGAGCAAAGTAAGAGAAACCTACAGAGAATACTTGTAATCGTTTGACAGCTGAATAAATATAACTTAAATTTCAAGATAAACACAATAAAACGTTTATCAAATTTTACTGATTAATTGATAAATAGCCTTTTGAAGTCACACCATTTTTATACTTTGCTCGACAGCTCTCATTCCGTACCATAAAGTATCATTTAGAAGAAGACAAATCAATGTTATTTACCTAAGGAAAGACTATGAGAGTCACTAAAGCTGCCTCAGATGCATTTGATACATACGCATTAGTTTTCATTTCGATTTATTGCCCTATCATACATCGCCACTTCTTTTCAAGGGAAGAAGAGAACAATATGTTAAGATAAAATCAACTTGATTTATCAATCTTTTGAGTCATGTATTCGATATAATTCATAGAAAAGTAATGTACATTGCGATTAAGTAAAAAGAAAATACGCTTGATAAACTTGTTTTAGACAAACAAATACAACGGTGCAATTGAATTGATTATCATATTACAAACCGTAGACCCTTCAGTCAAGGGAAAGTCGAGCGTACGATGTACCATGAATTCGCTTATAATGACTTCATTAGAGATATGTTAAAATTCATTACCTGAGAATATTAAAATTGACTGATTTCGTCCAACGAATCACAGGGACTAATGATATAAGATATAAGAGTAGCATCATATTTTTGAAAGCGGAAGAATTAGTGAATGATTTTTTTTATAGCTAGTAAAAAATTGGCTTTATATTTCTAATCGAGCGTATTGATATATCCATTCTGGGCACTATATTACCATTTCTTTTTGTATTTGAATCCATATAGCATGGCGCTTAGTTTGGCATCTGCCACGTATAGTAGTCTTCTTTTGAAATTCAAAGATAGATACATATCGTTAAGATTGTTCACAAAGGGGTATTTCGAACCGCTATGAATGATGTCGATAGCGAAAAGAATAAAAAAAGAGTTACAATTAAGAAAATTTTACTGATTTTAAGACTTTGAAAATAACAACTCAACGATGAGAATATTGTAGAAAATAATAAAAACAGGTTTCATACAGAACTACACAACGTTGATGAAAGGAACAAGTTGCAGACACAGTAACGACTTCATTAAATTCATCTTTGCATCGTTCAGTTCTGCTACATCTAATAATCCATGTTTCTACTTCATTTTGATTGCTTAACGATGTTCAGTACGGACTTATGTTTCATAGAATATATGAAGATAGATCAAGATGAGGGCATAGATGCGACGAAGTTACCACGATATCAATTGTTTGTCTTGATTTACCAAATACATACATCTTCTATCTTAGTATCTACTTTTGTGTCTTTGTAGAGTATACTGGACGCCGCCGTTAAGATAATTCCACATTTTAAAACTTTTTTGCTTTAGTTTTTCGGTCATTTCGAAAGCAATACATTTCACATTTGTCTACCGTCCCATAATCACATCGGCTCGACTCTCATCTGACAAAACTGAATTACTGCCCTTTTGACTTTACTCATGACCAACCGATTATAATTTTTCTATGTCATATGTATAGGCATGCCTTAGAGAAAATCCAAGTTCGTCGGTATTACTCATGAGAATTACGCATTTTTCAGAGTTTCCGATCTCCAACGCGACGAGTAATATCATATCGGTACATATCAATGTCACTAATTCGTAGAATTGCTTTATGATGACTGTTTTTCTCTTAGAAAACGTTGTACAAAAGACAACTGATGATCCATCCGGTGTTCTGTTCTCTCTCGCAGAAAAATTCTCAAATTTATCGTGTAGAAAGCTGATTAGTGTCTTAGTACGCAAGGAAGATGATGCAACACATTCGATATCAAACTATTTCTACAATAGATGTCAATTTTTATTAGATGAACTGATAGGTATCAATGAGAGCATCACTGCATTCAGACGCTTCTCTATCAATTCGGCACATATTACTCGTCATTATCAATGCTTTAAATGGTTTCGGAAGAAGTTTCTTCAATTATCTTCCCAGCAACGAATACTATTAACGAATTCGTTGTCACTATGAATACTTGTTTTCTTTAAAACTTTTCTCTTTTTCTTTCATCTTCAAAGGTATTCGTCGACAAAATTGTCTGAATGTTTTCGAGTCTTCTTAAAATATGTTCTTCCATAAAAAATGTGATCCATCGATGAAAACGACAAAGAATAACCAAACGAAAGCATCAGATCAAATACCAATCAGTATTCCTAAAAACAGATGATTCACTTTCCAAATTATTTCGATTCCTTGAGTTCATTTGGATCAAGGATAATTACTCTGATCACAACCGGATAGCTATCTCTTTCGACAAATACTTTTCAAATCGATTGTTCTTTGATGTTCTTCTCATTGGCGGTTTCATCATTTCTAAAGATCAATTGCGCTCAATTCTCTCATCCAATACGATGATTTGACACACGCAATCGTGAAGCGAATGCTGGAAATTGTTTCGAAAGATTTCTTCTTAGTGACCAACTCCCAGGGATAAGTTCTGCAGATTTTTCGCTTGCCATGTTGAGAGTAATCCTTTATCGCAATTAATTTGTTCTATGCTTCAACTTGTCAATAGCCATTTTTGTTTAATGATATACTTTCAACTACAATATTAGATATCCTATTGAACTCTAGAGCAAAATATTTTTCTAAATTTTGACCAGCATAGGGTACACCCAAAAAACAATGGCGAAAGCAAAATCGGTGAACAAAAATGAGTTGGACTCTCGACACCCTTCTTTTGACATTATCAACTTCGACATTTTCACTTTCGCCATTTGACCACCAAATCGATAAGTTTGATGCTTTCTTATTTGAAATCCTTATATAGCACAATCGAAACGCTTCTTTATTTGTATAAGAGTACTCATGCCGATCGTAAAGCAAAACGAGCAATAAAGTTGGGTTTTTATACTAGACTTATTATGTCTAAGTTTCTTAATACGTAGTATTTTCTCTACCACATGACACTAGCAATTGGGATAACTTTCACAGGAGAATGAAATTTTTTTTTTTTGATATTTTTGCCATGAAAACATGAAATAAAAACCACTAGCCATTGAACATTCGCTGACAGTTGAATAAAAATAGTTCAGAAAAGGTGAATTCAAAACTTTGAGGTGAAAAATCTGTGCTCAATATACAATTTAACTTTTAAAGACTGGCGTACTTGTCTTGGCGATAATTAATTCATTCAGCAGGATGTGAGAGCCTCATTCTATGATGAGAAGGCAAGACTTCAACATTTCGAGCTACGTTTTGATACCGACTGAAAATTTCTTAGATGGAAACTTTTAGACTCATACTTTCTTAATCATTAACGCCATGAAAACTAAGAAAAACGAGCAAAATAAACTAACGTCAGTGCCGGAAAAATTTCGAACAAAAAAAATAAGCAAAAGGTGACCAATGTTCAACTTAAAAACTTGAATTGGAATAAACTGGTAAATGTACAGTCTAAAAAATCAAAAATAATCCTACAGCGTTCTGATTGAACTTTTCATTTAATCGGCAAATCAAATATAATGACTTGACATGTATATAACTGAAGATATTTTAGGTGATTATCATGGTATTTAGTAATGTTAATCTAACTCAATTAAATGTTTGATCCTTTTAATAACAAATAATCATATTAATTTGATAGTCGACTTTCTCAGTTGCTATGAACAGCTTATTAAAATAGTATACGATTATGACAAGTTTTTTTAATGTTTTACATAGATGATTGTTATATATATATATATATATATGTTATTACTGCCTAGATATTCATTTTGCATTCAAATTTATTATAATATGGTATCAAAATAAGATTTCCTTACCCAATGATATTGTTGATTCATATTATTTGAAAACAGCATTTATGAGTATTTCCGTTATTTCTGGGATAATAAAAAGTATAGTTCATGCTCAAATATTTATTTTGGAGCATCTAAATCTCATCGTATATGTCGAATAGTTCGCTCGCTGAGATCATCTTCAACTGGATTCGAGTGTCGCTTAGTGATTGTCAAGCGCAACTATCAAAGTGTAAGATAAAAGATCACGATGGGTTACAATTCAACGAGATTGTCATCAAGCTTTCAGCTTAACAACTACGTTATTCACCACATATCACAGCAATATGGCTGACTATATCCCTGGAACAATGTCCTTTTTCTTCGCAGACAATCTCGCGACCGTATTGGCGGGACAAATCGCAAATCAATTTAAGGATCAATGCCTAGATCTAACAAATGTCCCAAAACTAAATAAGCCTCTCAGTATTTTAACGATATCTCTTTTTATTCCTTACAAAATGGTATATTTTTCATGGTGTAAATGGCAGCTTATGATTTTCCAAAACATGCTTGAAAGGAACATCGCCAGATAAATAATTTTGCAAATACAATTTGTTGTGCACTTTTCAATGCCATGTTTCAATTGCTTTTTAGAATTTTCTTTTTCTTATTTTATTTTAGTTCATATCACTATTGGTATCTATGATCCTAAAGTCCAATAGTTTCTTTAGGATCGACATGATCATAGTACTAAAGAATACAAATAAAAAAAAATTGATATATTCTGTAGTAATATGCAGTTCTTTGATAAAAACGTGTATCTTTTTTAATCCATATTAATGGCGCCAATAGCTGAATAAGCTTTTCGCCATGCCAATGCTGTGACGTAATCACGAACTGTTGTATTGCCCTTTGGAATTTCATTATTCATTTGTGTCTTTTCATATTCATTTACAACACCAGATAGAAACACATCTCTCGAGCTAGCATTGACCATTTCTGTGATTCGATCTTCTTGTTTACGTTTTAGGAATTCCTGTAACTCTTCTCGATGTTTGAATTTGGCAAAATACTCCTCATTATGTAAGCAATGAATATGCCAAGCATTCCATACTGAGTCGGTCGAATAAGATGGGTGATCTAGAGCATTCGATTCATGTTGATGGCCAAGAGTTGCTGAATAAATATGATTGATGGCAATGTCAGCAGCATACAACGATGTGACACCCCGCCACCATCTGGGCCATTCGCCAATATCAGGTAAATCTTCAATGCCTAGATCATAACAAAGTTTCAGTCATGTCTTATGTGGCACAATATTTTTTTATTAAGTGTCATGTGAAGAATCTATTCACAGTGCTCTTAATAAAGATGAAATGTAATATCCGTATAGAAATGTCAAACACAATCTGACAACGATACTCTTGGCGTAGTACAAAATACTAATATCTATGAAAAAAAAAAAGATTCAATTGCAAATTGAAAATGTCTGCACAAGGAGACATTGTGTGATACAGAAAAAAAACTTCAAGCTCAATATGGACCCTCATTGACGAATTCATGACAAATTACTCTAACAGAATTATCTTCTTTATGAGATCCATGTACGCAATAACAAAGGTCGGATTCAATTCACGAGGGTGATCTAGTAGTTCAGTTGATATATGTTTTATAGATATCCGAAACGAAGGATCAGTAAACATGATTCTATGAAAATGCATTAGCATATAATTGTTCCACTATTTCTATCTCCCTGTTTCATCTCAGTCACTAAATAACAGCTCTTAAATGAAATATAGTTTTTGTCACCCAACTGCTCACAAGTGTTGCTCGATTGAAAAACAAAAATAAAATAAAGAATTTATTTCATACCAGAAACATTACGTCCGAATTCATTTTTCAAAAAATGTTTGCCAATAATTGTTGTTAGATTTGCAATTTTTACCGAGTCATGTGGGTTGACTAGCCATGTCGAACATAGGTTATGTATACTCGAATGATTGTAGCCGAGTTTCTTTGCAATCTTTCGTAGCCGATCATGGGTGAATTCATCTCCATGCTCAATTCCTCCGAATTGCATAGGAAGCAATTTTGTCGGATGTTTTCCAATCAAACCCATAAGCAAACCAGGACTTAGCACAGCATCTTGATCCACTCTTAAAATCCAATGATAATCGACTGTGGCTCGTCGATATTCTTTGGTTAATATAAATGCAATTGATGTCATGTACAGATAATCGTTCCATTCTTCGACTATTTTTGGATCTAGTATTTCATAAAAACAAGTAGCTATCAAATCTAATTTCTTTCTGTAGGAAAGAGGTAAACAAGCCGATGGCAATTGATGGCAGCTTGGTTGTTCACAAAATACAATCAAGTCAGAAATGACTTGTTGTGAGAGAGGCCAGAAATTCTGGATAAATCGCCATGATTCATATAACAAATAAAACTCAGCAATATGACTGGTTTGCATGGATAAAGACAGTACGATCGCTAGATGAACAACATCAGTTTTACCTTGTATTTTCAGTATCGGAGAAGAAGTTGACATGGTGATAGTATTAACAGGGATATGAATAAGATTCTCACGTGAAGTAGTACAGGATATATCTCTTTGTCGGCCATGATATTGTATAATTATTAAGAAAATGTTGATTACTAGAATAGAAACAAAGATGTATGAAATTCGTTTACTAAGAAAACGAATCATGTTTTTCGATGTGAAGTAATTAGCAAAATGTGTAACTGGATGACGGAGATAGTTCGGTGATTGTATAACTGTATTGAAAGAATGTTGATCGTTGGTATGTTATTAAATTATTTCAAGAAAAATGGTGGAAGAAAAGTAACTAAACATTTGCAATGTAGATTAGTTGTGAGTATCGAGGATAAATCGAAGAGTATTGACACGAATAACGTGATGGTTTGCAATGCGATGTTTCTCGATCAATGTAGTTTTTTTTCTCTTAGCGGACTTTGTACAATGGTGAAAATGCGCACATGGCTACTTTCTGACTAAGTAGTTATAGTCAATGTTATGTTTGCATGTGGGCATAGTTATTCAAGCATGAGAAGAAGAATAGAACACAACTATGATATTGTCACTAATTCGTTGCTGTCAACAAAATGCTTCATACGACATTGGTTTCATTCGTTACATTGTTGCATGTACGAACGGTTAAGTATTTAAATTTAAAATCGGACCCCTTCGATCTCATTTGTATTGAATAAGAACTTCAACAAAACATTAAGCAAACTGCTTTACATGCTCAGAACAGGTATATATACTGGATTATGACATTATTTCTTGAGAAGCCTAACGTTTTCAGCTACTACCCAAGTGAAAAATTTCAAAATTCGATGAGAATAATCGAAGTTTGTAATCTGATTTTTTTGGAACAAAATCAAAATTTTAATCGATTGTAATTTAGGTTTTGTTTTGAAATACTCATGTGAAAATCCTCATATTTTTTACTTCAGTCCGATTTTGATTGATCTTTTACACTGTTGTACCGATTGGTAAACGACAAGATGAAATAAAAATAAAGAGAGTCCTTTCTCATGCAAAAAAAGACAGAAGAAACTTATTAAAATCAGACAAATCATTTGGTTCTGTATAGACTTTATTAATATTCTTCAACACCTTGACAAACGATGCAACACATTAACATTGATTAACACTTAAAATCGAATTACGACCGGAATAATCAAAAATAATCGAGATAGTAGATTATTTTTTTTCAACCAATTTTAATCGGATTATCCTGCAAAAAGCAAAGATTTCATAGAAAAATGGGATTTGTAAATCAGTAATCAAAAATAATTCTAATTTTCTTCGGTTTATTCTTCACCGCTTACTCTTAACCTACATAGTTTGTACATAAGAAGGATCATTGTTGTGATTCTTCTTATTGTACATTATTTAAAATAAAGGAAAAGAAACTTCTCGACTTCTTCCATGGTCGTTGTTTTTTTCTATCGTCATGAATAAATATTAAGTATTATTCAAATAAAAATAACCAAATTTGACATATTTGTAACTATATAAGTGATACAAATTTCTAATTATAAAAGCAATATATCAGATGAAGAGTTGGTGGAAGAAAATCATAGAATAATGGAAATAATAAAACCCTAACAAAAAAATCAAAATATTAGGTTAAAAAACATGCATTTGATAATGAATGCCTCAAATCGAATGATCGTTGATATGAAGGTATACAAGTGTATGTATCAAGCACAAACAACGTTCTATAGACAACCAACAAAGCAATAAAAGATGATGGAACGATTTGAGAACGCCATGTTTTATCAAAATTCTCAATAGTTTCTTCAAATATTATCGATAACTGGTCAACAGAACGAGATCCATCTTCGCGTGATGCAAGAATATTTTCTCAAAACCACAAATATCTTTAGAATTATGAGCTTTATCATCTTAATGGGCTAAATCAATAAAAAAAAGGAATTTTTATTTCGAATAATTTTTCAAAAAAAATTATATATGACCTTTCCGAATTACAATCAATTAGATAAGCTAGTTTAAATAAACATAATAAAAACGATGGATAACGTTTAATCAATCCAAAAAACCATTTTGATATTCAGTGCATGAAAATGAGAAATGATTCACATTGGAAAATAACAAAATGCAACTGTTCAACTATTTTTTAGAATTATATATGCAAACACATTGTATGCATGGCTATTCGTTTGAAATATTGTATCACACCAACAGCAGCTAAGACAGTGCCGATCAGTAAAAAAAGAAAAAAAGCTAGACCAACAAAGGATAAATCTGCTTTACTAATACAATAATTTAATTTTCAGTTTTTTTTCTTTAACTTATTTTGTAAATTTTTTCTTATTGATTCTGTCATTCTTTGATTTATTTAAATTTATTTTCTACTAATAACTTTTGTATTTTTCACTGACTTAAATTAAAATGTTTTACTGCTACTTATATTTAATAAACTGGCCATATTGCGATTAGTCACTGATAATTTTACTACTGACTATTTAATATTTCTACTGATCATTTCATCTATTATACTGACTACTGAAATAGTAGCCCAAACAACTCAGCAACACGCCTTTATTGTAATAAGAGTATTCATGATGTAACAAAGAACTTCTACATTCAACTAATGACAAGTTTCTTGATAATATAGAATCATCACAAAAACAAAAGATAAGAGTCAAATTAGAAGTTTGAGAAAAATAATACGTAAATGAGTTAAATAAATAAATAATATAGACAGACATCAACTCTCACATATAAAAGAAGAAAAGGAGTCGAACATCTTTAAAAATATCGAGTTTTTTATGACTGTTAATAATTGACTTATCATTATACTTCAACACCAGAGCAGTCTATGCAAAATGAGTTTCATATCTGATGTGTTTATATTAATATGAGTGATCAATAGAGCTTAGTAGTTCCATAAAAAACGGAACCGAGCCAGGCTTTGAGTGTTCCAGTCTCTTTCATCCTGAATCGGAATCCATGGAATTAAACATTTTTTACTGATATATGGAAAGCAGCTGATGTTCAAATGTTGCAGAACGTGTAGTTGAAGAGATCAATCTACGAGTATACTAGTAGTAAACAATGCGTATTTATCACCTTTGAATGGAAGAAGAAGATAGCTAGAAGTTTGATTAAGACCCCTGAAAAAATCGAGCACCATTGAAAAATACTTATTCAGAAGGGTCATGATTCGATATACCGATGTGTACTTTCATAACCATTATGAACGTGAGTCAAATCTCTGCTAGAAGAGAAATTTTTGCCATAAAAGACGATATTTTGTCTAAAAAAAACAACCATCTGTACCACAACAAGTCGGTTTTCCTTAGTAGTTGTTCGATGACGCGTCTTCAATGGTATGATATCATAATAGGAGACAAACTCAGATTTTTGTTTGTTTGAAAGCTCATTATTCCAATAAAATGACCTTTACCAAAGAAAAAAACATATTTTTCTTAGAACACAGTTTTATTGAAATTCGGCTTTTTATAAAATTTCTTAGCTTTATTAAAGATTTTTTGACTTCATGTATACATTAAAACTAGCGAAAGAAGTAAATTCAATAATAATTACGGGAGTTACCAGACTCTAGTGTATTCTATTAAAAAAAGAAAACAAAAATAAACTTTTTCAGTCAACTTGATTGAATACTGTGGAATATGTGATAGACCACAATAATGAGTATTATGTATATACTGAAATTGCCCCAGCTCCCACACAGAATGAGATATAAAGCTGAAATTTGTTTTTATCTGTAACTAGGCACTCTCAATATTCGTACAGTTTCAGCTCAATATGATTCTTTATCAACAAGAAACACTGTACAACTGATTAACAGTTCTAAGTAACATTCATCGAGAGTTGATTCACTTATCTCTAGACTGACAGGACACTGGTATCCAAGCAGTAGCTTTTAGATGTAAACATGCGTTAAAATAAAATGGCAGATAAAAATAGAACGCTTACGTAAATTATGCTACATAACCATTTGTGATTTCAATGTCTCAACCATTTTTCGGTAATGAACTTTTGTGTGTTGACTGTATTATGAAATTATACTGAAGCATGCTATTGCACTTAGCACTATGAAATTGTTTGGAAAAGTTACCTCCATTGGAAATATGAATATATTGTCTTATAACACTTCACAAATCGGAATAATATCAATGCACATTAGACTATTGACTCGTTTCCGAAATATTTTCGTCGACTGATACGTCACTTTTACTGAAGCATATTAAAATAGTTAAAACTAAATAAGATGAAAGCAACGAGTGATGAATGCATTTATCTATATTTATTTATTTTTTTAGTATTTTCTTCTCCAAATGATTCAATTTTAATTTGTACATAAGTTCTGAATCAATTCCTAGTTCCATCGGAAATCACGTTTTTTTTAGTGATTCTTAATGATCTATCTCTTCATAGACATTAATCTGAATTTCAAGATATATAATATAAAAAGTAGTTACCTTTATTATAACTGACTAGTTCTCAGTATATACATGATGCGATTATTACGAATCAAAGAAAGCTTTTTTCTTATTGCTTTGAAAAATTTACAAATCTAAGTAATTTACTCATATATTTTTATTGTGTGAGATTATGTTATATACTTCTGATAAATTCCATTCCTAATAGTTGTTGTTCTAGATTGCTAAAGAAACTGCCGTGATGCAACGATTTTTTTCTGTTTGTATTGTTTTTCATCTTTCCAATAATAATTATAACAAAAATAAGAACCCGTTGTCTGAATCAGTTTATATTACCGCTATTTGTAGTCAAAACAAAATTGTATACCATTAGTATTGTCACAATTTAAAATAAGAAGATTTTCTTTTATCATAATTCTGGTCAAATTTACTTAACAAGTTATAATTTATGGAACAATGATATGCTCATATATACACGATTAAGTCAAATTCAATTAGACTTAATAAGTTATTAAAAATATCGTTAACTTAACTTTTATATAGCTCATATTAGGCTGTTAATTTTGACAGCAACGGCTAGATGAATGA